GTTGTTTTTGTCTTTTGTTTTTTTTTTTTTCATAATGTGCTGTTTAAACTGCTTATCTATAATTCAGCCTCTCAAATATACATGAATTGTTGGAGCAATACGTACCTTGGCTTTGTCTCCTTTAGTTTCCAGACTGACTGCTATTTGGAGGCCTCATTTCAAACAACTGGACTAATGCTATTCCATAAATTGCTACCTTTCTAAAGCTGTGATGTGAACCTGCCTGAACAACTGCCACTTTAGCACCACAATAAAAAATGCCTTTCATATAACAACACTCTTCCTTTCAGGGGGAATAATGAAACAAAGTAAAATAAAAAGGAATGATCATCTGTTCGCAGCTAGCAGATCTGGTGGTACACAGAGCTGAAAGAGTTGCTCTTCGGGTATGTTTTCTGCCCCATAAACTCAGAATTGGTGCACACAGAGCATACACCTCCTGCTGCACGACTCACCCTGAGCACACCTTGTATTCACAAGTAACCACAACACCAAAGCCCACCTGAATTTTGCACGGGGTTTCGTGAATACAGAAACTTCCCAGGTTCACAGAGGTGCTTCTTCTTTTCTCTCCTATCTCACTGAAGACAGAGGACACTGGGGAAAATCCTCAATATGTTTGCAGATGGTATCAAGTTGGGAGGACGTGTCAATCAGCTTGAGGGTAGGTAGACCCTGCAGAGGGATCTAGATAGGCTAGATAGCTTGTCTGAGGCCAGTTTCAACAAGATCAAGTGCCAGGTCCTGCACTTTGGTCACAACAACGCCAGGCAACACTACAGACTTGGAGCTGCGGGTGCTGGTCAGTAACTATGAGCTAGCAGCGTGCCCAGGTGGCCAACAAGGCCAGCAGCATCCTGGCTCATATCAGAAAGAATACAGTCAGCAAGACCAGGGAGGTAATTGTCCCTCTATACTCAGTACTGGTGTGGCTGCACTTCAAGTACTATTTTCATTTTGGGGTTTGTTTCCTGACTAACAGTCAGCAATCTCCAGCACGAATGTCATTCTCTCAAGCCTGGTCTAATGGAGATGGCCATCACACTAGTTTGACTTGAGTCATTCTCTGCCAACCCTTTCAGCTGCTGAAGCCTTTGGTTTAACACCAACTGGTTCCTAGCTGAATTAAGCTAAATTTGCACTGGCTTTTTAAAAAGAAGCGTGCCTAGTGCAAAGTTCCCAGATAAACACAACACAGCAGAAGGGAAAGTATCTTGAAGGGAGATGTAGAATTCAGTTCTCACCCAGAGATGCAGTTGGTCCTTGCTAATGGGAGAGCAGAATGGGGAAACCTGGACATGTGCTTCTTATGCCAGATCCATTCTTGAATAAACAGAAGGGCTTCAGTTTCCAGCTTTCTATGTTACACGAAGAGTTTCAAATTTACATTTGAGAAAGTGGCCTTGAAATAAGATTGTCACGTTTCTCTCTTTTAGCTCAGGATACACATTGAAAACACCCAACATTTCTTCTGTATCTGATAGCAAACCATTTGGATTATAATATTTTGCAATTTTACTCTGTGACACTAATGAAGTAGTCAGGAAGCGTCCTACTGTCAGGTACCATCCATCACTTGATATATGTATGAATCTGAATGCACAGAGGCTTAAGTCCAATGAGAAATCCTTCAGATAAAGAATGAGGCTATTTACCTCCCACTTTGTCATGGAGGCTCAGATCAGAAAGCTCTGAGACTTCACCATTCTTTTTATATAGCACTATCTTGACCCTCCAGCCCAGTCTGATTCATGTGACGTGTAGATAGACCTGGGAGAAGCACAGGTGTCTAATAGAGTCCTGAGGGCTGAAGGTCCTCTCAGCCTTTGTACCAGAGCTTCACCTGTGAACATGTAAGAGCCATAAACTTGCTTCTCTCTGACTTACCTTCCTGAGTCCTCCACTGCCTTCTGCCTTGCTGTATCCAGAACTAATTGCTGCTTGGAAGCACTTGTAAATGTAAAGCTGATACACTGTAAATGCAAAGTTCAAGCTGTTCCCCTAGAATCAGTGGTATTGTATAGTGGTTACTGGTTACTCAACCCACCTCAGGGTTTAACTGCACAGAATTACTGTTTTAGAAAAAGCAAAGATTCAATTCTTTATTCAGAGGTAATTAGAGGATAACTTTTAATCATAGAATCATAGAATCATGGAATCATAGAATGGTCTGGGTTGAAAAGGACCACAATGTTCTAGTTTCAATCCCCTGCAGGGTCTCCAACCACCACACCAGGCTGTCCACGGCCACATCCAGCCTGGTTTTGAATGCCTCCAGAGATGGGGCATCCACGACTTCCTTGGGCAACCTGTTCCAGTGCATCACCACCCTCTGGGTGAAAAACTTCCTCCTAATATCTAACCTAAACCTCCCCTATCTCAGTTTAAAACCATTCCCCCTTGTCCTATCACTATCCACCCTCGTAAACAGTCATTCTTCCTCCTGTTTATATGTTCCCTTCAAGTACTGGAAGGCCACAATGAGGTCTCCCCGGAGCTTTCTCTTCTGCAAGCTAAACAAGCCCAGTTCCCTCAACCTTTCCTCATAGGAGAGGTGCTCCGGCCCTCTGATCTTCTTAGTGGCCCTCCTCTGGACCTGCTCCAAGAGCTCCACATCCTTCCTGCACTGGGGGCCCCAGGCCTGGGTGCAGTGGGGCCTCACAAAAGCCGAGCAGAGGGGGACAATCACCTTCCTCTCTCTGCTGGTCACCCCTTTTTTAATGCATCCCAGAACACAGCTGGCCTTCTGGGCTGCAAGCGCACACTGCTGGCTCCTGTCCAGCTTCTTGTCCACCAGGACCTCCTAAGTCCTTCTCCACAGGGCTGCTCTCAAGGAGATCTTCCTCCAGCTTGTATGAATCATCAAGAAGTACTTCAAGTCAAATAATGAGAAAGGCCTAGCTTAGCTCTATGAGATGTAGCCTAGAATCTGTATGGCATCTGGTGCTTCATTTTACTTGTGTAACCATTTGGCTGCTTTTCTTCCAAATGTTAACCTTGAATTTTAAAGTTTCAGAAAATGAAACCCTTATTTGGCTCATTATGAGAGATGTAAGATGGTGTTAACAAATCATTCTGTAAGCCAAGCCAGGCTCATGGACGTTCATTGTGAGAACCCAGCAGACAAGCTGCACCTGCATCCTGCCCTGGAGAAGTATAAGTGCCTGAGCTTTCAGAAGTAACAGGCACTCAGGAAGGTACTTAGCACTGAAACATTAATATCCAGCCAATCTCCATTGCTCTCCTGAGCACCCATACTGCAACGCTACCATTTTAATGACAACACTTCTGAAAACTTCACCTAGCCTAGAACTGTGAAGTGCTTTGGGTAATGCGGCCCAGCTTGCTGGGCACAGCAAGCTGCTGGAGATCCGTTGCAGCACTCAGGCTAGTGCAACTGGGACTGCACTGGGACATCTGCAAGGCAAAACTCACTGCAGATTATCCTGGGATAGCATCTAATGCAGGTTAGCATTAAACAAAAAAGCAAACATGTAAGTAACCTTACTGCGCTCCCAGCCCCTGCTCAGTTGCAGATGGAAAACACCACACACAAAGATCTCGCTTGGGCTTTTCTTCTGCCCTTCCATCCCACCACTCTGACTACCTGCGCTTCAGCCATCACTGCTAAAGCCAGCCGCTCTGCCCACTTTCTGTGTAACAGAGAAAACCGACAAGGTATTTCAGCACAGAAACACCTGTCAGCCATCCGAAAGCGCAAATACGTTTTCCAACTCGCGTACCACACCCCGGATCGCTGCTAAGTGGGGCTAAGGAGGGCGCTAACCAAAGCGGAGCCGATCGATGCAGACAGCCTTGGCCAGGCTGACCTCGCCGGCCCCTCCGCCACCCCCGGTCCCCTCCGGCTTCGCACCGCGTCCGACGCCCTCATCCCGGCGAAGTTCCCGCACCGCCACCCGCGCTCCTCCCTTCCGCTGCGGGGCCCGGAGCGGGTCGTCGTACCCCGGTTCCCTTCGCCATGTGAGGGAGCGGGGGCCGCGGAGGAGCCCGCCCCTGGGGGCGGTGGGGCCGGCTGGGCGGCTGGGCGTTGGATTTGGCGGAGGGACGGCGGGCGGGGTGGGTGGGCAGCCCCGCCGTGGCAGCCCCGAGCCGCCGGCGGGGCTGAGCCCGGCTCCGCGCAGGTAGGGGGGCGCCGGGCCGAGCCCCGCCGAGAAGTTCGGGGCTGCGGGAGGAGCGGGCGCGGTGCCCCGCGGTGCCGCCGCCCCCGCCGGGCCGGGCCGCCGGTGAGGGCCGGGGAGGCGGGCGGTGCGGCGGCTTTTAAATGGCTTTGAGGAGCCGTACCTCGGAGGTGGGGTTGCGCCGGGAGCTGGAGCGTCTCGGCTCGCCGCGGCCGGAGCAGCGTACGTATATATGTGTGTGTTCGGGGTGTGATGCGCGGTGTGCTGGGGACGGAGCCGGGAGCGCTGTCGGTGCCGCGGGAACTCCTCCGGGCTCCGCCGTGCCTTTAAAACACGGGAAGGAAGAGATGCTGCGTGTCTGTTTGGGGAGTTCGGGAGGGATGTAGTTTGGCTCGGGGCGCTTCGATGCGATGGTATGCATTTAAAAACCAACCAGCACTTCAGGCTGAGTAAGAGGTTCATGAAAAACACCGTGCATGCAGATGAGCGGGACGCAGCAGGCTCCGCGCTGCTCCACGCCGGGCAGCGCTGTTACTCAGCCCCGGCCCCAAGACTGCAGCCGCGGGAGACCCTGATCCCGGGACGGGGGTCGGCGTGCGAGGCTCGGGCGGAGGTCCGCTCCGGAGCGGGGGGAGGAGGAGGAGGAGGAGAAGGAAGAGGAGGAGGAGGGATGGCCGTGGCAGCAGGCTGTGCTCTGCCCGGTGCGTGCGGTTCGCATGGTGCTCGAGGTGTCGTTGCGTAGGGGTGGGGGAGAGGTGCCCGGGCTGAAGTGTTCTAACCGCTCTCTTCCTAGGGGCTGCGGATCCGCCGCGCACTTCCCTCCGATGTGAGCGCAGTGTCCCCTGTGGGATGCAGTAGGTGATGCCCAGCTCTACTGCAATGGCAATTGGAGCTCTCTCCAGCTCTCTCCTGGTAACCTGCTGCCTCATGGTTGCCCTCTGTAGCTCCACCATCCCCCTGCAGAAGCTGGCCAGGGCACAGGACAAGCAGGAGATCAAGGCCAGCCAGGAGAAGAGGGACCACGCGTCGGCGAGGGACAGCCAGGCCGGCGCGGGGAAAGTGGGCGAGATCGGCCGCAGCGGGAGGGAGGAGGGCGGCAGGGACTGGAAGAGCAAAGGCAGCAGGAACTACTCCAACAAGGAGTCGTGGACCAAGCAGAAGCAGGCTTGGAGCAGCCAGGGGACGGGCGGGAAGTCCGCCAGCGTGCCGATCCAGGAGCAGCGGGACATGGCGGCCGAGGCGCCTCGTCTGGCCGAGGCCTCGTCGCTGCCGGCGGCAGTGGCCAGCGCTACCCCGGAGCCCCTGGAGGAGTACGCCTACCCGGACTACCGCGGGAAGGGCTGTGTGGATGAGAGCGGCTTCGTCTACGCCATCGGGGAGAAGTTCGCGCCGGGCCCCTCAGCCTGCCCCTGCCTGTGCACGGAGGAAGGCCCGCTGTGCATGCAGCCCGAGTGCCCCAGGCTCCACCCTCGGTGCGTGCATGTGGACACCACGCAGTGCTGCCCGCAGTGCAAGGAGAGGAAGAACTACTGCGAGTTTCGGGGGAAGACCTACCAGAGCCTCGAGGAGTTCATGGTAAGGGCTGAGCAGAAGGGCGTTTTGCAGGGCCTCGGCCGCTTGGAGCCGCACAGGGAGTTTGGAGGGTGCTCTGGGTCTCCCCTCCCCTTTTCATTTCTGCCTGAGCACTGCTTCTGCGGTGCTGTGAAATATTCCCCTCAAACATGACCTTTCTTGTGCTGCGATACTGTAATAATTTTAAATGAGGGGGCTGGTCTCTATTAATTCCTTTGGTATTTACAGTAAAAAATGCTACTTAAAAGGATGCTGCTTGGCAGCGGGGTGGATTTGAGGAGGATTTCCAGCACTGCGTTTGTTCTCTTGTTTTACCGTTCCCTGTGACACTTGTGCCGTGCAGGGACCAGGCAGGGGTTGCGGGTTGACTCCCATTCCCGGCAGTCAGGCAGTGATGTTACCTTTTTTTAACTCTGCCTAATCTGAGCGGAAAAGGTTGTGCAATGCTTTCGGAGAACGAGGATGGGCCTGCCTTTTAATGAGAGCAGGGGTTACTGTCTGGTTTAAGGTTACATTGAAACAAAGGGCTTGAAAAGCTGTGTTTAGAGAGAGCTTTTCAGAGCAGAGCCTTTTAAACATCGCTGTCCAAGGTCATTATCATTGAAAATGTATGTTGTTTACTGCAGTGCACTGAAAAGTTTTGAAGTTTCCTGGTTGCTTATCTTGCCCTTTTCACATGTTATAGTGGCTGAGCTCTGCAGGCAGGCTGTAAGGAATTGCTTGGGAATGGCTGCAGGTGAGGATCTGGTTCAGCACCTTTGTGGGAATACACGGCTTTGGCTTGAGTGGGCTGAGGGCTCTTTGGAGCCCTGTCAGCTTGAGCCTTTCATAGGTGGAGGAAGATAAATTACATTTGTGAAAGATGTAAATAAGTTTCCCCCTCTGCTCTCTGTGGTGTCTGTGTGCTCTTAGAAGCTTATTTCTATTTATGTCTCCACATTTCACATGCAGAGTATTTGTTGTTTTCAAAGCATGGCAGAAGAAATTGTGCATCCTCTCAAAGATGGCATTCAGCTCTGGGGCAGTGGTTTCCTTTTAAGAGGAAGACCACTGTAGTAGTGGCAGGTTGGTGACACTTCAGAGATAGGTTGTAAGATTCCTTCTTTTTCAGTGAAGTTAATTCTGAACGGCAGACAGAGCAGTGATGCTTTTGCACGTGCTCTGTGCAGGTCTCCATATGGAGGTTTAAAAGGCTTCTCCTCGCTGTTAGCCCAACTTCTAACAAGTTGCTTTTCTCTGTATATAGTGGTGTCCTGTTACTGGCTGTAAAGCAAATCTGAAGTACCTTGTTCAGTGTATGCTGGGAGAGTATAGCCTTAGGACTTCCGTTATACTTGAGCATGGATGGCAGCTTTGGTAAAAAGGGAACGCAAAGAGTGACATTTACAAAAATGTTAGTGTAGGCTTTGGCTTCCAAATTCTTTTTAACCCTGTTCAGCCTTTATATAGTTGAACTGATGCCCTCCTGCAATGAAATAGTATGTCCCTTACTGCTTTGTATTTGTCGGCTTTAGAAAGGAGGGAGAATGGGTGCCTGTTCCAGATGTGCAAGGAAAGTTACCAGCACAGCACAGCAGGGGGTTTGCAACTGCTTCGTTTTGACACGTCAGGACATTGCTTTTTTGTCAGGCTCCCACACTGGTTCCAATAATACAGGCACAAAACTGTAAACACAATCATCAGCCCATGCAGCCGCAATTAGCTACGATGCCTGGCGAAGGAGAGCACAGATGTGGTCAGATTGCTGCTTGGTGGAAACAACTGCAAATGCAAATCATCACACACAAAGGCTTTTTCTACAAGTTTAAAGCTGGCTGTCTTACAGAGCTTTCTTATATGCCACCTCTTGATGAAGGTCAGGGAAGGAATTATAAATGGATAGAAGTCTGATTTTATTCTGTCTTCACCTTTGTTTTCTGTTTATTGCCACTCATCAGACATTATTGAAGGAAGAAAAACGTGACTTAACTTTTAAGGGAAGTTACCTACACAAATATTTACATGCAGATGTGTATATATATACATGCAGGTTTAGGAGTCTGCTTATATAAAATCTGTATATAATTCAACACAGCAAAACATCTCCTTGAAAAGAGCCGGTACTAACTCAGAAGCTGAGTTTGCCAGGGAAGGAAGATTTGATGCTTTTCTTCTTTGATTGACAGGCAAACCCACAGGCTCTGTGTGCGTATGTGTGTATGTGTACACCTGTGTTTTTCTGCTTTTCAAAAAGGATAGGAATATCAATACAAAATCACAAGGATGAGGTTTCCTGAAGGTGTTTTCATCAGCACTGCTCTGCTCTCCTGGGGGTATCGTGATGCTGTATGGCAGAGGCATCGTTGCAGGATCCGTAAAAGTGAAACTGGAGCAAAAGCCTCAGCACTGCTGGTGAAATGCAACTAGGATAAAATTCAGCACTGGAGCTAGAGATTGCTGAGCACGTACTCCATGAGATGTTTTTCAGTCTTACAGTAACATTTGGAAATGCAGGCTGACATATAAAGTAATAGCCTTACAGGGACCATAAATAATCTTCAGAAGTGCATTATTCAATGGGAAAGATCTACATTGTTGGAAGTTGTTACTTTATGGGTTATGGGTTTTGTTTTGAATTTCTGTGCCACCAAAAAATGTGGGTTTTTTTGTTTTTTTTTTTTTGTTGTTTGTTTGTTTTTGATGGGGGGTGAATACTTTGGAAATCCGGAAGTCAACAAACCCAAACAAATTTTGAAACATCTGTGACACTGTGAAGTGATAGAGAAATAAAAGCAAGGCTGGTACATTGTTGTAGGCGAATGCAACAGTACATTTAATTCTTGTCAACCTAATTCTGTTTATGTTCTCCTAAGTTGTGTGAAAGAAAATAGTTATTCAAATTCCACCAGAATAGCAAATCACTTTGGGATTATGATTTTTTTTTTTTAAGCTTAGATTTTTCTCAAAGAGCAAATGTGGATTACATGTAATCTATAATATTTTATTTGGCATGTGGGAAGGGAAAAGATAAAGCTCAGCTTACCCTGTATCAGAACTTTAATGAGTGTCAATGACTTCTCACTTCTTAACTGCAACAGTTTAAGTTGTAAGTTGCTTGATAAACCTACTACTCTCACTAACGTTCAGTTTTCTTCATGCTCTGCTAGTGGGAAGTCTACCTGTTTACGCAATTATGTGTGTGTATTTTTTCCTGCATCTGCAACTTGATAGCAAAATGTTTACACATCTGCTCATAAACTTCCCTGTAAACAGTTCTAAAGAAGTTTTTATTTTTGCCATCTGTACTCCATTTTCTACAGGTTTTACAGCTGCCTGGTGAATACTTCAGACTTCTGTGCTTCTTGTTGTCTTTACCCAGTTTTTGCATAGACAGATCTACTGCTGCTGTGTAGTTAATAACTTCATCTGCAGACCAGAGAGTCATGGCATTGTTAGTCTTTAGAGAGAGACTGCTAGGTCATGTCGTCTCCAGTCCAGCCTGGTTATGTCAAATGTGCTAAGTGTGAGTTCTGCAAGACTGGTGGTTTCCCAGATGAACAAGTAGGCTGCTCATTGCATTGGCTGTCATTAGTGACTGTGCTGCAGGGAATGTTCTTATGTTACAGGAACAGAGGAGAGGAAATGAAGGACCAAAAATTTCTTTTCATTCTGATTTATTTAACTTCTGTTGTAATACACTGTCTTATTGTCTCTCTCTCTAATGATGATTATGTTTCCAAGTATTCAGCTGCCATTAAGATAAGAAATTGTTTTTTTATAGTTCCTGTTACATCATGATAATATATAAAAAGCAGTGCTCTACCATTTAGTCCAAGGATGAATAGATAAAGGTGGACACTAACACTGTTTTAGCAGCTACTGTGGTTCACGTACATGCTTGAAAAGAGGTTTGTGAGCACAAACGTATGCGGAACCTCCTTGATGCCAGTCCCCTTCCTCACCAAAGTGGGCTAAGCTTGTATGTGTGGTCCTACTGACTTTGGTAAACACTCTGAGGTATAAAAATTAGCGTTGTAAAAGTGGGAGGGAAAGCAGCAGTGTCAAACAAAACAGGGTTTGTGAGCATTGGAATCTGATCTCTGGTTCTGACACATACCTGGAGTAGGAGAACACCATGTGTGGCTGATGGCTTTGCCACACTTCCCATGGCTATGTTCCCATGGGCATGTTCCTATGCAATCTATGTTCCTGGGTAAGTAGAAGATGGAACCTTTGGACTAAGGAGTGGCAGGGAGTCACAAACTGCTGTTTGTACAGTTGACTTAACAGAGATATCAGAGGAGTGTTTATCCTACCCAGTAAGGGAAAAGTTGAACAAAACTGGGCCTAACAGTTGGCGGTGCTTACTTGTAAAGATGGAGAAAGACTTTTTACCAGACCCCATAGTGGCTAAAAAGAAAGGGCAACAGCTTTCAACTACAAAAGAGTGGGTTTAGATTGGGCTTCATGATCTTGGAGGTCTTTTCCAACCTTGATGATTCTATGATTAGATATTGGGAAGAAATTCTTCCAAATGAGGGTAGTGAGGCAATGGCACAGCTGCCCAGAGAAGCTGTGGGTGCTCCATCTCTAAAGTCACCCAAGACCAGGTTCGATGGGGACATGGGCAGCCTGAGCTGGTGGGTGGCAGCCCTGCCCATGGCAGGGGAGTGGGGCTGGGTGAGCTTTAAGGTCCCTTCCAGCCCAAATTGTTCTGGGATTCTGTATGCATTCTCCTGAAACAATCCATCATTACCAAACAGGAAGAGTGTTCCTGACTGCAGTGTAACATGAGCAATAGTGTACTGATTCATGAACAATGTGGTCCTTAACTGAACGCGCTGTACAAGAGGAAAGGGCATCATTCCAAATTATCATTACTAGACAAAGATTTGATCAGTTTTGTTTGTCATTTTGCAGTATTATCAATTTTTTACTTACTGGTTTGTTGCTGTAGAAGTTTTAGACTTAAGCATAAGTCTAAAAAAATGTTGAAGCCTATCGAAAGCTATAGATTTGCCTTGTTGAGCCATATCCTTGGAACTGAGTTCTAGTAGCACTGATCAAATAGGATTTCTAAATTTCTTTTTTTCATAATTTAGTAAGCATTTCTTTCTGCACCTAAGTCCAGAGGGAAGACTATTTACTAATGACTTGCAGGGGCTCATTTTTGCTTACATTCAAACTTTCTCATGAAATTCAAGTGACTGTCTGAAATAGCTGACTCTGAGCATGAGATCAGAAATCACCTCATCTGCTGACGTTCCAACTCTGCAAGTGAACATGGCAGTCTTTGAACAATTACAAGACGAAGTTCCCGTTTGAAAGCCCGCAATAAAAGTCTGCAGCAGTGGGCTGTCAGCCTCCATGTAGCATTTTATAAATGCATGATGCATATTTTTGTCCTGAGTGGAGTGCAAAGCAAAGGGAAATTGGGAAACAAGTAGCTAGCAAAGGAAGTCTGAAATAAATAATAGTAATAAAAGCAGAAAGCAACACAGCAAGAGACCCTATTTAGGCATTCTAAGTAGAGGGGATGGTGTTAAAAAATACACAAGTGCATAAAGAAATGACAGTCCTGGCAGGTGGGAAGAGAAGTAGCAAAGCATGGATGAGCATTTAGTTAGAGATGATGCTGTGCAAGCATCAACGTATTTGAACTCAGGAAGTGAGAAAGATGTGAACAGGACAAGCAAGCCAAGAATGGAGTTCAGGAAAAAAGAAATATGATAGAAATACGCTTCAGAAAGAGGGCGAAGATACCAGAAGATCTGCAAGTTAGAGATCTCGCATGATTCTCCATAACAAAAACTATATTTTTGAGTTTTGAGGTTACTCTGCTCATGTTGGAGAAATGCAGAAGATGGTTGTTCTGCATCAGCTGGAATCTGGAATGGGAAAGACTCCAAGCAAAACCAGCCTCGTCAAAGTGTTGACCTTAAGTAAACCTGGAATGTGAACAGATGATGGATTTAGAGGATCACTGTTATTAACGTGCAGCCAGATTTTCATCCTGCGCTTTGAGCACAGATAGCAGTGTGGGGCTTTTTTGAGAATAGTGATGCAATTTAATGTATACAATTTCTTCTTTGGTGCCCTTCCTTCCCTCTACCTCCAGCTCTTCTAGGAGTACATGGACATTAGAGATACCATGTGCAGCACCTTATGGGGAAGAGAACAACTGGAATTATACATCCAACAAACACAGACTTTTTAAAGTCCATATCTTTCCTAAAGGGATCCTTGATTCCATTTTGTTAGAAATTAATTGAATTGAAGTAGGTCATTTAAGTAGTTATCTCCTGGAGCTTCTATTCTGCAGAATTCTTCAAAACCAGTTACGTTTCAGTAGGTAAAAAAGGATGACCCTATTTCTTTCTTTTTTGGCTTCACCTCTTTCTTTGAGTTGCATTTTCTTTTCAGAAAGTTTCACATATTACAAAATAGTAGTTAACCTCTGGGAAATATCTGAGTTCACAGGATGTTTTTCCCTACTTCACAATGAGAATGATCATTGTCAGTGAAGTTGCATTCAGTGAAACGCAACTTCCTGCCACCAAGAGGTTTCAAACCTGGAAAAAATGCAATGAAGATTTCCATTAAAAGAAGTTTCATGTTTCATTTAGCAAAAATTCTCCTTTATTTTTAATGCAGTATTTTTTTGCTAAATTATTTTTTGAACATCTAATAAAATTAAGCAAAATTTCAACTGAATTAGGGACCTATTATGCAGGAATTTCACTAAAAATGTAGGAATATTTTTACTTTATTTGTGTTAAAATCTAAGAATTTGTTGTTCCTGAGATCCCTTTAGCAATTCCATTTGGCACAGGTTCACAGCAGAGCTTGCAACTCATTTTGCTGCAGTCCTGTAATTTTGCAGGAGCCCAGCCTTGCCCTCTGCTTTATTCAGACCATAAAAAGCATTTGTTTTAAAGGAATAGGAATAAGAGATAAAGGAAAGAAGAAGTGAAAGGATTAAAAGATGAGTGGATTTGTGTTTCAGGTTTCTCCATGTGAGAAGTGCCGCTGTGAAGCCAATGGTGAAGTGCTGTGCACTGTGTCAGCTTGTCCCCAGACCGAGTGCGTGGATCCTGTCTATGAGCCTGATCAGTGCTGTCCTATCTGCAAAAATGGTAAGTGGCTGCTGCAGAACTAGAAGGGGGTTTCTCTCAGAGGGATCCAAGTGGCTCAGTTCCCTTTTTGTAGAATAATTTCCGTTGCTTCCTCTTTCTCCAGAGAGAGATGGAGAAAGATTGTGTAGGACTGGTGCCTTCCTGGTGTGAAGAGTCCAGTCTCCTACTGACTGAGGTGGACTCAAATATGACCTATCAGTATTTTTGTTACCCAGAAGACTTAACTTAGAGTGTTAATGCCATTTATTTATGTGGTCTCTGGATAGAAACTGTAAATAAACTTATTGTAGATATGGTTTATATATAGCCACACTAAAATGCGTGCAGGCTCTTCATGTTATTCACCTTTCAGTTTGAGAAGAAAAGTTACTTTTTTTTCCCCTCCTTATTTCCCCTTTCACAGATTCTTGGGGCCCCCCCCCCCCCCCCATTTTTTTTTTCCTGAGGCAAATCAAATGTACTTTATTGAGCTCATTTAATTTTCATAACTAAATGAATTAAACTCCCAAATTTAATTGAATATTTTTTGTAACTAAATTAGACAGAAAGCCTCTCTACTCCCAGCAAGGGCTTGCATTAGATCAAAGTCTTGGTCTATTTAGAAGAAAAAATTACATGACACACTGGCTCATCACTTATAAAGAAGAAATGATAATATATTAATAGAAATGAATACTGCAAAATCTCACATTAAATTATATTTTAAATGAAAAAAAAGCATTTGAAAATATTCAGGTAATTTGCAGTCATATATTATTTCCCTAGAATAGCTTGGTTCCACTGCATTAGCTAAAACAAACTGATTAAATTTGTGAAAAACCTAGGGAAGGAGACAGTGTGCAGCATGTGCTTTTCAGAAATTCAACCGTAGATGATAAGGGATAGTTAATTGCATTGCAGGAGTTTCATTTGTATGGACATAGAAGTAATTGCTTCCCATCCCTTAATTGGTTGTTACAACCCTGAAGGAATTTGTTCCCATAGGTACAGCTTAAGTGTACTCTGCTTTTGGAGATGAGGACAGGTATTTCATGAGGCACCAAGGACTAAGAGACTGTTGGCAGGGGTAAGGTCTGTTCTCAGTGCCAGGGGCAGAGTTGAAAGCACAGCGTGTTAAGTCTGCATGGTCTTTCCCTCTGACTGTCTCCAGAGGTGCTTGCACTGTTCAGAGCTCCAAGTATTTTTCTGCCAGTACGTGTTCTCTCACACTTGTGGTGGTGGCCATCTCCCATTTGCATTTGAATTAAGCTGGTGTGACAATGTGGGGTTTGGCTTAACTGGTTCCAAAGATCCCCTGATGCATTTCCCAGAAAGGAGGCCCTTTTCAAAAACCATATGTAAACATGCCTTAGTTACCACGACTGCCTACTCTTTAAGCACAAAAGCTGGATTACTTGAGTTCTGCCTGCAAGCAGAGAATGTTCATGCCCTCAGCTTCTGAATCCCCAAATTAATTGCATATTCCTTCTGTATACCCAGAAGCTGGCATCACTGACCCAGTTTCAAACCAAGGTGACCAGAGCTGACTGTTTCCAGTGAGCTGTCCTGTCACTTCTGTGCATGTCAGAGAACCAAGAGTGGTTTTCCTTGTTAGCTTTTAGACAAGAAAATAAAGCCATTAACAATAACAGCAAAAACAAGATGTTTCAAAAGAAGCTTGACTTTTCTGGTTCAACACACAGCTTTGGTATATTATTGTAAAGAAATTCCTGAGGAATCCTTTCAATTTAAGGAACTGATTTAGAAAATATCAGGCAGTTTGCTTTCAGAGTTTATTGTAAAGCATGGAATGCGTGTAGTTTGCAAGGAACTCTAGTGAGTTACTGAATGTCTTTAATTAGATTGGAGCAAAAACCTACTGAGCAGGAAAACCTAGCTGCCTCATCCGTCATTTTCAAGCCTATTGGAACAAATGTGCTGTGAATGTGAGTCAGGGGAAAGAATCACAGCATTGTGCTGCAGGGCTGATTGCAGCAGAGGTGACATCAACAACGTCATGTTAGTAACCCAAAGGAGCTCAAGAGATGTATATCTTGCTCAGCCACGTAGCCTGTGTGGTGGGAAAGGTGGAACCTGCCTTTCTAGAGAGGCATGGAGAGTGTGCAAGTGAGATGACTGCTTTCATACTCAGCATCCTACTGTAGATAGAACAAGAAGAGGTAGAAGGTGAAGTTTGGGTTCTGTGTATTGAATAAAATTTGTGCACTATAAATGAACAAAATCCTATTCAGATATGCATCCCATTCCTGGCCCTTTATACCATACAATGCTTTCCCAGCCTCCCTGACCTGGTGGTGAACCAACAGGTTTGGAGCTACACAGTTGCATCCATCACTAATAGGAACTCACACAAATGCCTGAATATGATTTGTGGAGGAAATTTAGGGGAAGCTAGTCATGATTAGAAATGAGTGAATTCAGTCACCTGGCAGATATGGGACAATGTACGTTCTCTCTTGTAGGAAGGAGAGAGTGACTTCTTTGACTTCTTTAACCTGATTCTACAGAAGTGCCGACAGCTCTTCAATGAAGGAGGGATAGGCTGTTGTGCAGTTTCATGTTTATTTTCAACCAAAGAAATGAACGGAAAACTTGCAGAGCCAAAAACCGCCTTACATACAGAATCTCATAATCTTCTGTATCACATTCTGTCTGTCAAGAAAGAGCCCAGATACCTTCAAAGTTGAAGATGTCACTTTCTTCTTTGTGACAGGGACAGTTTGTACTTCAAAGAAGCATCTGTTCAGAAAAGTAGCTTATGGGAGGGATGAAAGGTACGCTTCACTGATAAAATCTTTGGTTAGGGGGAATTTGCCTCCTTTTTATATCTTGAGGCACTATAAGAAGGGATACGCTTTGTGTTTATCACATCTATATACCCTGTAAGTATGCAAAGTACGCACAGAGGGGAATGGAAGAGAGGCTTTCTTCATGTGGAGGTTGAGCTTCAGGTAACCAACTGCAGCAATAGGAAAAAAAAAACCAACGCAAACTTAAATTGCATTTCAGAGAGCTGTACTGGGTAACAAGTGCCCTATCCTGTTCTTCTTCCTCCTTTGTGGTGCTGGCAGTGTGATTGCTTCTGTAAAGGCAGACCCTTTTTTACATCAATACCAATATGTTCAGAATCAGGCACAAACATTTCAACAGCTCATCAGGAGTGAAGAATGAAGATAATAACCATAGCACTCTCTCTTCATTAGAAAAAGGCTGGGTATTTGTTGCCAGTGATTTATTTGGGTGGTGGGGGAATGGCTAATACGAAAAGCGAATTATCTTCCTAAATTGAATTACCTTGCTTGTCTGCTCCACTTCTGCTCTCTGTTTGAGCCCCGGTAGCTGTGCAGAGCTGAATTGAGCCTGCTGTGTGGGAGCTACGGAAGGGCTAGGCAAAACCAAGGGTCCAGGCAGAGCCTGAAAAGGAGTTGCTAAAAAAAAACCAAAAAACAAAAAACCCACAAACAAACAAACGAAAAAACCTCAAACCATTTTGTTCCAAGGTCCCCAGCAGTTTTTTGTTTTGTTATATGGTTGAAAGATGACCCCAAACAGAAAGAAGCTAGTCCAGGTGCCTCCTTAGCACTTACCTGTTTGTGCTTGGTGATGTTTCAGAGGCTTAGGTAGGCTTCTGAATAACATGTGGGAAGCTCAGTTTGTGTGAAGCACTCTCAGAGGTACAACATGGCTTTGTCTCAGTTTGGGACCCAGATCTATTTAAAAATGGTGGAAAATGTGTGAGCTGTGGCCTGGAGACCCATCCCACCATAGCAAGGCCAAGGGAACTTTGTCCAGGCAGACACAGGGTCAGTCTATCATGGCAGTGGGGTGTTTGTTCTTCCTGCAGCCCCAGCCTTATACAAGCACCATGGAGAATCTGACCTGTAAAATTTAATATCCTTCTACAATATGCTTAAATAAAATATTATATCCCCCTCAACTCTATATGGCTTGGTCTCGGTAGCAGAGAAAGTGTTGTAATGCTGTCCTGGTAGGTGCCAAGGCAGGACTATTGTAAACATCAAGAGTTGAACTGCTGAAACGTAAACAAATAGTACCTTTGATTCTTCTCTCTTTTATCTATTTTTGTTTTAAAGACTCTTTTCAGTGATGTCTTGGCAAGTAATTTATATAAAGCAGAGAAGATGCAGAAGTTTAAAAGTCTGAGAGTGATTCTTAGTCCCCCTTAAGAGAGGTCAGGTGGTCATGCTGATCTTCTGGATGTAATTATAGGATTACAAAGTAACTGTAAAATCCAGTTGCTAAGATTGAAACAATATATCATTTTATTAAAAAAGGAATTTTCATTAAAAAATAACCTATTAAATGAGAAATCCTTACACCCTAATCCCTTTTATGTCCGTGCTGTACGCACCAGTGTTTTGCTCCCTTCTGCTGAGTTCAGTTTAGGCCTTTATGTGGAGTGGATAGTTTTTATTTTGTGTTTCTGTGATCTTCAATCACTTAGCAAAAACTTCTGCAGAAACTTTGTGCTTTAATTAGCTGTGTTTCACAAAATGATTTATAATATGGGTCTGTTAACCAGAAAATATTAATGTTTCACTGGGAAAAACACCATTAAAGTTTCATGAACAGCTGCATGTGATTAGAGTTGCCTAGTGAATATGCAGGTAGGTGAAAAACTGTAGCAGAAAATTTGGCAACTGTTTATGGAAAATAAAGAAATATCAGACTTGTTCCTTTATGGTTGCTTGGAGTGTTTAGAGTGGCTTCAAATCTAGTAGGTGAAGTCACTAATTTAGTAATAGTAATTTTTATTGCTTCTGTATCTTCTGTTAATGAAATTGCGAGGAAGATCAGTCTAAGTCATCTTGTTTCAAGAGATTCCTTTAACACTGTCTAATATCTCTCTCTGCTTCTAATTTTTTCCTCTTTACTTTGGAAGGTTGATGGCTACACAAGCCGCATGTGGTTTCAGTGCAGAAATCCCAGGATTTTGCTGTTGGGTCATTTTTTTTTTCTTTTGGATCAGACCTGTAATG